TCTTAGCTAAATAGGCAAACTCTGCTATTCTAATCTTAATTTACTGTTTCTGCATCTAGAAAAGTCTGTTCTGATAATTTTTAGAGTATACACAGGTAAAATACTAGAACAGTAAATGGCAAATACGAATAACAGATTGGCTGCCCATTCCTGTCTGGACTAAGATTTCAAGGGGCTGGGGGACTCCTTTAAATCCAAAGGAAAGGACTTTCTCTTGAATGTATTCAACACTGATTCACTGGCCAAAGGGTTTACTGATTTGAGATGACATTTACAGGAAGCAAATGAAATTCAAATACAGCTAATAGCTCCCCTTTCTTACTGTGTAATTATGTGTACTTATTATTTGTGTAGCATGTTATTATTTAAATGTCCCTAATTTCAGCCCCAGTAGGCCAAGGGCCCTCAAAGAGTGGCCAAGGTCTCAGCCTCTGCCAGTCCTTTCCAAAGCTTTTGTCACTTTATTATAGACATGAAAAGTGGCATTATCTGCAGCAAGAAGTAGACAGAAAGCTCACAATCTATGAATCGTAGTACTAGTTCTCCTCTACACCTAGCTACAGCCAACAAGCAGTAATGATAGGTCCAAATCGAACACGTGCAATCAGTGAGACTGTTCAAGAATTGTATTTTCTACCTCTCTGGTAAGGCAAAAGAATTCAGTCCCTGTTACTTCAAAAGCACAAAAGCAAAATGGATGGCAGACATGGATTTCATAACATAAAAAGAAGGTCCTTCTAACTATCTTCTGTCTGCTTGTGTTATTCCAATTCTACCAGACCTGCAGAAATGGGCAGGCTGAGTTCAACCACTCAGATACAAGCTATGCTGTTAGTTTGCTATTAACAAGCACTAGACACCGGAACCCCTTCACATAAGTGATAAGGGCAAAGGGCTGCTCGCTCATCATGCCAGCATGCCAGTAATTTAGCAAAAGTGATGTCAATTTGTTTTTAAATTAGATAAAAATTATGTCAAGTCCATTCTATTGTTGATGTAAAATATTATGGTTTGTTTTTTTTTAATGAATTTCCCCAGGAGACTCTAGCCAATCCAACCCAGAAAACCTTTGTTAACAAATTGGTGGAGAAAAAAATATATAAAGCACCTTGTTTCCAACATTATAGTCGCAAAGATTTGGTGTAATTCCACACATTCTATGTTGCAAATTACAAACTAGATACAGAGATATGTAAGTTGAGAAATAGTTCTGATTCTACTATTATAAAATAAATAGCTATCTGACTTTAGCAAAGTCAGTAGCATACATAACATTCACAAGACAATTCTATAGAGCTAACGGATAAAAATGTCAGGACTCTCAGAGCATGCCATGGCCTAAGATCCCCAAGCTAAAAAGCACAGGCCTAAAAAGACTCCTGTCACCACCTTATCTCTAGGTTCGTATTACCATGCTGGCCTATTCTGCTCCATACGCTTTATCACCAAATTAACTTTATTACCAAATAATGTTGGCATAGGTGCAAGTGCGTGCGCGCGCGCGCACACACACACACACACACAATGCGCAAATGGAGTTAGGCACTGGTAACTCACATCTGTAATCCTAGCTACTCAAGAGGCTAAGATCTGAGGATTGCCATTCAAAGCCAACCCGGGGCCAGAAAGTCCCAGCAGACTCCTTATCTCCAATTAACCACTAGAAAAAGAATGGAACTGTGGCTCAAAGTGGTTGAGGGCTAGACTTGAGCTCAGGGATGGCACCCCGATCCTGAGTTCGAGTCCCATGGCTGACCAAAATGGGGAGAAAAAAGGGCAAATGCAATCATTTCAACTTTCAGAGGAAAACAACACTTCACATAGGTTGCTTTTAAAGTTAACATGAAAAACCTAACCTGCATGTCATCAGTCATTCTGCTTCCCCCTCCCCTCTTCCACCTCAGACATGAAGGATAATATTTTCTCCTGGGACAGGCAGGCCTACTAAACATTCATCCAAGCCCAAAGTAAATGTGATCTGATCTGTGTATCTAAGTATGTCCACAGAGAGCACAGCTTGCCATTACAATTCACCCCATTGCCACCTCAGCTGCATCAAAAACCCTTACATGCTCCCTACTCCTTCAGATATTGAGGTGCCTGCCCCACGAAAACATTCCACAGATCTGGGGGATAAGTGCATCCTCTGACCAAGAGGTGTTATTCCTGCTTTCCAGTTGTTAATTCTGAGTGCTTCCTGGTAACCCTCCCAAACAAGAATGCACACTTTGTTTTACTATGGTAGTTGCCTTCAAGGTTCTTAAGTTCTAAGGCAAGTTCAAGATTCTTAAGTTGTAAAACAAGGAGATGCTTTTACTCAAAACTGCCAGAGAAATCTGATATGTAAAGTAACCAAAAGGTGGCCCTGGAAAGCTGCCTAAACAAACATCTACACCAACCAGAAAAATGGCATGTGCCCAGCAATTCCAAAACCCAAAACCCAAGCCTCCGTGTCAGCAGTTTAAAGACAAGAATATCTATCAGGGTAAAAAACAAAATATCCCCAGCTAACCTTTCGCTATGAAAGGGAACCAAGAATAAAGTCTTTAATCCCAAATCCCAGTGCAGATATGTTTCACAACCATGATCAGAGTTTCTTCTACAATACCACATTGTCTGTGGTGTCAGATCTAAATCCAGATGACACCAGCATAGGTTGTTTCTTCAATGATTCACTTTAGTCTGTATTCACTTACCCAAATCCTACCACTACTAAACCCTATTATGTCATCCTAAAACCTGGTGCTTCCCAGTTAGGAAATACTGCATTGCATTATTCTTTGTCAGAGATTCAAAGAAGTACTAAGATATCACCCCTTCTGGAGAGCAGGAACAAGAGTGTTCTTCAAAAATTATTCCTACTAAGGAACCCAATCACCTCACTTTTCATTCCATCTCCAGCCTCAGACAAAATGATGTGAGCTATGAAGCTGTTACAACAAACTGCCATGTCAAATGTTCTCTCCATAAATACACAGCTACTACATGACAAGCAAGCACAAGCTGGGTTACCATTCTGCAGAAGACCTATATAAAAAGAGCTCCTTGGGACTGGGAAGGTGGCTCAATGGTAGAGTGCTTGCCTCCCATGCATGAGGCGCTGGGTTTGATTCCTCAACACCACATAAGCAGAAAAAGCCAGAAGTGGTGCTGTGGCTCAAGTGGTAGAGCTCTAGCCTTGAGCTGAAGGATGGTGCCCCGGCCCAGAGATCAGGCCCCACGACTGACATTCTCTCTCTCTCTCTCTCTCTCTCTCTCTCTCTCACACACACACACACACACACACACACACACACACACAGAGCTCCTTTAGGAAACAGAATGAGTCCAAGGTGTATATTTATAAAAATGCATTCTATAACTTTCCAAATGGGTCTTACCCATACAGTTTATACTGACTCAGATGAGTGAAAGGGGGAAAACAAAGGAGGCAACAGCACAGAACAAAGATGTCAGAGCTACAACCTTCGTGGCTGACTTTCAAAGCCAAGTCATACATAAAGAAGAAAACCTAGGGGCAGGATCTTTTAAGTCACAAAATAGTTACAGAACAGTCTTAAGAGAGGGAGACACACTGGGTGAACACGGAGTTCAGAGATGGCCTTAGAGCTATGGAAGCAGGTAGGTAACAGGTGAGAACTACTTCCACAAGAGACTGGAGGGCAACTCAGTTTACAATGAAAGCAGGTGGAAAGATACTGAAAGCCTATTTATTTTGCACCCTAACAAAAGTCAAGGACCCAGTATCTATAATGACTCTCCCAAAATCTGAGCTGAGCTTCCAAGACAAGAACAGGGTCTCCTGTTCCTCACTCTCCTTGCCTTCTCCTTGCCTCTGACAAGAGGCTGGAGAATATTACGGCAATTGCTTTCTCAGAAGGACAATACAACCAATTATTAGTCTTTAAATTCTTTTGAGAGGGTTTCTCCTAAAATCATTCAATCCCGGATAAAAAGGAGCATGGTAATAAACTCAGGAGCCAATTCCCTTCTAAGCTTCCAAGATCCTTTTGAGGACTACTTGTGTGTTGGGTCTTCGTCCATCCCACAATAGACAGTCAGGGTCTGAGGAAAGGTAAGTGCGGCGCTCGCTCGTTCCCCAGCCTCCCTCAGCCCGGGAGAGAATCAGACACATCGGGGAGCCAAATCCAGCAGGTAGAAAACTCCTTTATTAACAGAGAGCAGCCCTTTTTAAAGACAAAAAGGGCAGGTGGCATGGCAAGGGAGGAAGAGGAACCAATCACTGTCAAGGTCACACCCTATCATGCACCTAAGCCTTCACGGGCTGGTTAGGCACTGATTGTAAGGCAAATTGGGCTCTGCCCACTCTACTCTCTCCCAGCGCCATCTTTGCTGCCCATGTGCTCTACAGTAAATTGGGCTCTGCCCACTCAACCCTCTCTCAGCGCCATCGTTGTTGCCCATGTGCTCTACAGTATATTGGGCTCTGCCCATTCAACTCGCTCTCAGCGCCATCTTTGATGCCCATGTGCTCTGCACTTGTGAAGAGGGCACTTCCAGAGGCACTGCCCACTGTGTGGCCCACTAGCAACCTGTGCAGACCCACCAACAAGGAAGCCAAAAGGTGCTGGCAAGGCAGCTGGCAGAGAAAGAGGCAGAGAAGAGGAAGGGCAGATTTACACATTTCCTTAAACAAACAAAGACTAGAAGTAAAGCCTCCACACGTCATCAAGATCATCAAAGGTGCACATACTTGAGTAGAAAGACAGATCCTAGGGGGGGAAAAAAAAACTGTAACTGGCCTTGCATTCAGCCAACCAACTAGGAAACAGACCTTAACCATACTATTTCGTAGGACATAGTAAAGGAATATAAGAACAAATGTACAGACACAGTAGGATGTCCATAATACATTCACATGCCCTTCCTACTGCTATTAGATCCCTAGCTTAAGAAGCCCAAGCTGCCAGAACACATCCAATTCAAAAACAAGGCTGTGCACAGAGGTTTACATCCAACTCTAACTAGAGGCAACTCACCATTCACTGTTTTTAGGCTCCCAGCAATGCCTTCCCCGTGCTGCCTCTTCTGGGCATTCTTGAACTCCTTCAGAGACAAATAAAGGACTTTACGTACCACCCTTTCTTCTGACCATGGAATCCCATCACTGTCATCCTGGAGAAATATAACAAAGAAAAAGAGGAAGAAGCATTACTAAAGAGCAGGCAAACAAGTATTCAGACTCACAACATACTTTTTAAAATATGAATTCCAAACAAGTGTTCAGTGAATGCTGGTATAAAACCCAGTGCCGGAGATTTAAATTATATCATGCCAGTGAGTATATTTCCCTTTTGGATAGACCTGAAGGTAATCCTCAAACAGAAAAGAACCTATCACTACACTTTCTTATGTACTCTGCCATTTCCAAACACAGTCATTAACTAGTAATACTTTATTCCTGGCAAAGATCAGAAAAGGGAGTTCTCATACTCACAACCGGAGGTGTAATGAACCATCTCCCTGGAGTTTTATAAGGTGACTGATACATGACTGTACACATTATCACAAATAGGTGTAGCACTGTTTGGGCAATTTTACTGTCTATGTTGGGAGAAGATACTCTAAAATATAGGTGATAGCCTCAGGGACTACAACTCAGTAAGAAATGGAATTCCAACTGCACTGGCCTTTTAGACAAATAAATCACACATCAAGAAGAGAAGGGAACAGTGAAAAGATAGCAGTAGATCCCAGCAAGTACAAGCAAGGAGATGATTTTAAAATGATGGTGACACAGGGCTAGAGATGTGACTCAAAGGCAGAGTTCTTGTCTAGCATATGTGATGCCCTAGATTCAATAAGTGGAAATAATAAGCATTAATAACAGGTCTTGAGTGCATGGTTACAAGCATGCCCCTGTTATGTGGAGATTCAGTTCCAATGCAAGTTCATGATAGGAGAGTTCATAAAATGAAAGCCAGATGGGTGAAGGGTAGGAAACCAAAGAACAAGCAAGCAACCAGACTACAGACTATTCCAGTAGTGAAGATGTTCAAAAGAAAGAAAATTGAAAAAGCACCATGTGGTGGGGGATGAGGATTGAGGGAGGGAGGGAGAGAGAGAGATAGAGAGGAAGGGAAAAAAGGAAGGAGACAGGGAGGAAGGATACCTCATACATTTTGCTCTAGTAAAAATCTCAGCTGGGTGCAGGTGGCTCAGGCCAGTAATCCTAGCTACTAAAGAGGCTGAGAATGGTGGTTCAAAGCTAGCCTAGGCAGGAAAGCTGAAAAAGGTCTTATTGTCAATTACCAAAAAGCTGGGAGTGGAGGTATGGCTCAGTGGTAAAGGACTAGCCTTCAGCAAAACAGCTTAACAATGGCAGGCCCAGAGCTCAAGCCCCAAGACCAGCACCAAAAAGCAAAAACAAAACAAACAAAAGTAATCTGGAAAGATGGCAGACAGAAGGGAGCATGAAGCTCCACTTACTGACCAAAAAGTGTGTGTGCGCATGTGAACAATAACCCTAGTGTTTTAAAACAGGGTTGGTGGTACATGCCTAATGCATTGAAAAAGCCAAAGCTGAAGGATGAGCATTTATAAAGTCAGCCTTGGCTAGGATATTAAAAAGTTCCAGTCTAGTCAGGGCAACAAAGTAAGATCTTGTCTCAATTTTAAAAATAAATCTAAAAAGTCTGGGAAGATAGAAATGGCAAGCTGTGGTTAGTAAACTGAGGGAACTGGTAAGAAAAACCTTTCTTAAGGAACCAATAAGGAAAAGAAAATCATCATTTTTGGCAATGTTTCCCTTGGCTAAGGATATTCAGGGCCTCTAACCTGATGTCTCCACAATCTGGTAATACAAAACTCACATTACTACTTCAAGACATAGGCATTTCATAACAGAGCTCAATTTAAAGATGGAAATACTGGAGCTTCTCAATTACCTTAGGGTGAACCTTAAAAGAATAAGGAAAATATTAGTATCCTCAGTAAAAAGCAGGATTTGAGAGATTACATGTTCCTCTGCTTCAGCTGATGGCAAGGTAGTTCAGGGAGAGAACTGTCACCCACAGGCAGTCTGCAGTTGATGTACTGAGTTGTAAAAAAAGAAATGGTTTTTATTCCTGCCACCGAAGGTCACACAAAACCTCCATGGGAGTCAATCAATAAGCTAGATTATCAGAAACCTTTTCCAGCTCTTAAATTCCTAAACTCTGCATAAACACAAGCTATATCTCAGAAATCCAACCACATTGAGACTCTAAGCCCTAAGTCACTTTGGCTGCAATCTGGTTAAGCTGTAAGGATTTCTTAAAATGAGAGCAATTCTACATCTTCTATAGTAAGTGGAAAAAAGGCCAGAGGAAGGAAGGGATCTAAGATTTCCACCTCCCCCTGGCTCAGTGTCCTTCTCTCCTGTAGGCTTGCCAAGCTGCGACTTCCATTGTTGGGCAGCACAAGGTATATTGTCTTCCTGTTGACTCTCTGAAAGCCCCACGAAGTCTACATACCAAGATGGGGATTCAGGAACAAGCCTTGAAGGCTAGGAAGCTAAGAGACTGCACCGACCTAACAAGGAGAATATGAATAATTTCTAAATTTCTACCAGGGGCAAGTCACTAGAGACCATAAACACACAATTAAAAAAACAGAAAAATGCAGCATTCTGAACAGAATCCATTTGTGGAATTCAAATAATCAACCTAAGTAAAACACCGATGATTTGGCTATACAACATATGAAGAGCAAGACGTGGCTGAATTTATTTTTACAGTAACTCCCTTGAGTTTGCAGGAAAGTTCCCCCGGCACAATATTTGTGACTGAGTGCTGATGTTAACTAGAAGCAGAGTTAATGCTTGTTAGGCCAAAATCCACCTTTTCAGCAGCAAGAGTTGATTCATAAAGACTGTCAGGCAGAATTTTCCTCACCACCTCCCAGTTCCCATGCTTCTCATTTGCATCTCTACAACGAACAATATTGTGAGATTACAAACTTATTTCCTACATGTACACAGTTTATAAATTACAGAAGTCTCAAAATAACTCTCCTGCATCCAGGACAAGCCTGTGCCTTTGCCCTGATTCAGGCTCTAGATATGAGACTTAGCCCCTACAACTTACGTCTAATTAAAACATAAACCATGCAAGACGAAAACTACCGCCAAGGAAGCGGCGCGTTTAAGGTTCACTTACTGACACCAGCAGCTTCATTGCACCTATAAAGTACTTTAAATACAGGAGAAGCAAACCGTGACACAGATTATAGGGTTTCAAATTCTACACAGTAAAAATGACACACACACACACACACACACACACACACACACACACACACACACACACATTCTTTTGTAATCTAGAGTGCTGGTCAAGTCTTGTCACCTCCCTTAATGCAGACACAAGACACAACGGGTAGGAAAATCACTCCAAAATCTTCGACATTTAGCTGGGGTTTTTTGCAGCTGCAGACTCATGGTGAGTCACTCTCATGCCCCAGGAGTTCCTAGTAGAATGACAGGTGTTGAGGGCAAAGGTAGGCCTGCACATCTGTGTGATGGGAAGTCCAGGAAGAAGATTCTTAAGTTTCTACTCACTCTGCTGTGGTGATCTGCTTGTTTAGAAGTGCCGCATGAATGCTCTACAAAGCCTTAGTGCCAGGGGAGGTGAAACACAAACACTACATACAGCACTTCCTTCCTATTTTCCCTTCGTTAACAGCTATCTTATGGAATCTGTCTTTATCTCCATAGGGTTCAGATCACTTCACTTGCTGACCATTGCATTACATACAGCTCCTACAATATGTCTTATACAGTCAAAGCTCGACAAACATTCTTGAATACAATTAAACTTGACAAAGGTCAACTTGCTTCCCCTGGAAACACACATGCTTTTAACTATTTATACCTGCCTTGTCAGCGCTCAACCTTAGGCAACATTCAGTATGTAGACAGTCAAGGGGCTGACATCATGACAATGTTGATCAGTGAAACCACTGCCTCCCCCATACAATACCATCCACAAGGGCAAAAAGACATGGGTATACCTCTCACTCTCCGCTGTAAACTAGAGATGACTCTCTTACAATGGTGGTTACCACCACACTTGCCTTCACTACCTACATCCCTGCAAGAAGACAGCACTCAAAGTCCAAGTCCATATGGACATGCTGGGCACATATCTAATGCCCCTTCTAATAAATGCTAATTCTTTCATCAAATACTACCAGTACTGGCTGTTCTTCCTTCCACCTTTCTTACCACATGTATACCTTGTATTACCCACACACACCCCTAGGCCCCTCCAAAGTCTAAGATTACATTAGGAAGCTAACCCTTTATAACTCACTATTTTCAAGCGTTTGGGCCTTTAATATTTGTAAATCCAGATTATCCCCTTTCTTGTCCAAGTGAGACAATGTGGCTCTCCTCTGTAGATGTAAGTTTGGGGTTTTGCCCTATTTAAAAAAAAAAAAATCCCACCAACCCAAGCCCCCATTTATTATGGTTTACTGGTCAGCTTAATAGAGAAGGTAGAGCAGTGAGGGTCTGAAAAGGGAGAGTGACAGGGTTTTATTCTGACTTAGCCACATGTTTACCATCCTTCTAAATTATCAGAAAATCCCTAGTCAAAAGGGTAACTGCTCAGGAAGCAAATTTTATGTTATGGTTATGAAATGTTTTATGAACATTTTCTATGGGAATAAAATCCTGAGCAGCTTTCCAAACTCTGTAACACACTTACATACAAGGAGAAGTTAAGCACAAGAAAGGATTAGGAGACTTTTAGGTCAAAGGTCAATTCTAGGATAGAGATAAAGTAATTGAATACCCTCCAGATCCTTGCAACTCCAACCTGGGGCTCTCAGACCACCTGAACCTTAACCACCTGATTCAATTTAAGCAGCCCCTTAGCTCAATCTACACTTGATTTAGCATCTGCATCTTAATCAGATCACCAAATGACTTGTGTGTAAACATCCATCCTCTCCCATTTCACAGTACTTTTTCATTTCTGTCATACTATAGGCAGGGTGGGGGATGAAACCCCAAGACTGTTAGAATTATCAAATCCATATTAATATTCCCTAAAAGGTCTTCCTTTTACTTCTCAGGGATCGTAAGTTATATGTTAAGAACTGTCACACAATATAAGATATTATGCATTTCT